CGCTTTTGTAGCATAAATTGGATCAGTGAAGTGATGGTGTAATTTTGACCAAAGTACTATCATTTCAGTTATTTGTGGTCTTACTTGAATTCTATTCATATTTATAACATTACCAATTAATAATTTAGGGAACTGTTGTCATAGTAAAGTATTGTATTCTGGACATGATATAAGTGTGACTTTCTTATTGTCTTTGGCAGTAATGATCTTATTTTTTGCTTCCCTGTGTCTTCAAATGTATATAGCGTTAGGATTGCTTTGTTGTTTTTGCTGGCCCTTCTCTACATATAGTGGCACATCTGCTATACTAGTATAGAATTTTTTGTTGTTGTTGTTGTTTATTTTCACTTATTGAATTTTTTTTGTTTTAGGATTGTAATAATTTAAAAGGAAATTTAATAAAAAAGAACACTTTTTCTTGAAATGATATGGCTGTTTCCTATCAGTAAAATATTTTTCTTTTTTTATGCAGCCAGTCAATAGTTCTAGCAGTGTTCCTCAAAGTCTATCGATGCTTTATCCTAATTAGATACTTTTTTTAACCACTTCAGCTCTGGAAGATTTTACTCTCTTCATGACCAGGCCATTTTTTGCTATTCGGCACTGCACTACTTTAACTGGCAATTGCACAGTCATGCAACATTGTATACAAATGAAATTTATATCATTTTTTTCACACAAATAGAGCTTTCTTTTGGTGGTATTTGATCACCACTGAGCTTTTCTATTATATTAATGAAAAAAGACTTAAAATTTTGAAAAAATATATATTTTCTGTTACAAAACATATCTAATAAAAAAAAATCAAACAATCAAATTTCTTTATAAATTTAAGCCAAAATGTATTTTGCTATATGTCTTTGGAAAAAAATCCTAATAAGTGTATATTATTTAGTCTGTAGGAAAGTTACAGTATAACATCTGCAAACTATGGAATATAATAGAAAATTTATCAATCCTGATGGTTCTGATCTGATGAATCTGATCTAATTTTTTGAGACCCTTAAAATGCCAGGACAGTACAAATGCCCCCCAAATTACCTCTTTATGGAAAGCAGACAATCTGAGGCATTTAGTAAGGGGCACGACAAGTTGTTTTGAAGTTGTAATTTTTTGTCACAATTGTTTGGAGAATGAAGAAATTATATAAAATATTTTTCTTTGATTTTTTTTTTTTTTTTTTACATACCATCGCCAGCACATTACAGTGTCATGATACAACTGGTGTGGCAGTGATCAAGGACACTGACTGGTGACAGCATGTTAAAAAAAAAAATCAAATCTAAAAATTATTTAAAAATATTTGTTTATGCAATATTTTTTTAACACTGTTTTTTTTAAAAGCACTTTCATCTGACTAGTTACCATAGTAATATTGTACTACATAAATTTGACCCTCTAATGATTAGAAAATTAGCAAACTTTCTTAGAACATTCTTTTCCTAAGAATTTTTGGTTGAAATTCTACCCATCTATGGCCAGATTAGGCAGCCTAATTTCAACCATGTGACTGTAATTTTCAAATTTCATTGGTCACTTTTTTGATAATAAGGATACTTATCCATGTATTAACTTTGTGAATTGAACTTCATGTCTCTTTTCCATTTTTGTCACGGCACCAATGGAGTAGCATAGTGCTGGAGCAGTGCAGGAAAGGAGAGTATATGTGAGTTGGGGGATGGGTGGACTAGTAAGAGACTGTAACTTTTCCCTATATGACTATTAAGTTTCATTTTAATATTCAGGGGGTGTAGAGAGGATAATGAACATACAGTACAAGAAAAAATATGTCAAAGTACATTAAATTATAACTCACATACAATAAATGTGAGTATTTTTATTTTAAATACACGTTATTTTGTAGTTACAACTTAGATGGAATGTACACATGGGAGGCCCTGTTTGAATGTATGCAATAATTCACATGAACTAAGTTAACTGAGAAAATGAAAATCACCTTTTTAAATTAATTATTTTAAATGAAAGCACAGCACATCACAGGTAAACTCTGTGTATAAAATTGAACTTGTTAGAAATTTAGATTGTATATATTACATTTTCTGCAGACATATACTGCACACTGCCCAATATATTCTGTTTTGGCAGGAGTGCAAGGCTCATATCCTTTCCCACTAGGTATTTTCAAGTGTTAAAATGAAATCATCTTTGAAATAAATTTCTTTAGTTCAATAGCAACAGTTACAAGAGGAAAGTTTACTCCTGCTGCCACAGGACTAAATATTTGACTGGAAATGTACAGGACATGGACCACCAAGGCACTGGGTCATCAATCTTTTTGGCTTCTGTTTAGTTGTAGATACAATAAATCCTGCTGATCCATGGCAGTTCTTTCAGTATATACAGCTTCTTTCATTGTGTTCATCCTGTATTATAGACATATTTGTGACCACTTTAAAGAGAACACTAAACTGTTCACATAAACCAGTATCTGCTTGGAATATCCCATATGGAAGAAAAATATGTTTGAAATACTACAATTTTAGCCATATTCAATATATTTCAAAATATATTTAAATAAAAAAAAAAGTATATATATATATATTACATAATACACATACATACTACATACATATATATATATATATATATATATATATATATATATATATACACACACACAAATATATATATATATATATATATACAGTCAGGTCCATAAATATTGGGACATCGACACAATTCTAACATTTTTGGCTCTATACACCACCACAATGGATTTGAAATGAAACGAACAAGATGTGCTTTAACTGCAGACTGTCAGCTTTAATTTGAGGGTATTTACATCCAAATCAGGTGAACGGTGTAGGAATTACAACAGTTTGCATATGTGCCTCCCACTTGTTAAGGGACCAAAAGTAATGAGACAGAATAAAATCATAAATCAAACTTTCATTTTTTAATACTTGGTTGCAAATCCTTTGCAGTCAATTACAGCCTGAAGTCTGGAACGCATAGACATCACCAGACGCTGGGTTTCATCCCTGGTGATGCTCTGCCAGGCCTCTACTGCAGCTGTCTTCAGTTCCTGCTTGTTCTTGGGGCATTTTCCCTTCAGTTTTGTCTTCAGCAAGTGAAATGTATGCTCAATCGGATTCAGGTCAGGTGATTGACTTGGCCATTGCATAACTTTCTACTTCTTTCCCTTAAAAAACTCTTTGGTTGCTTTTGCGGTATGCTTTGGGTCATTGTCCATCTGCACTGTGAAGCGGCGTCCAATGAGTTCTGAAGCATTTGGCTGAATATGAGCAGATAATATTGCCCGAAACACTTCAGAATTCATCCTGCTGCTTTTGTCAGCAGTCACATCATCAATAAATACAAGAGAACCAGTTCCATTGGCAGCCACTACCCCCACCATGCTTCACTGATGAGGTGGTATGCTTAGGATCATGAGCAGTTCCTTTCCTTCTCCATACTCTTCTCTTCCCATCACTCTGGTACAAGTTGATCTTGGTCTCATCTGTCCATAGGATGTTGTTCCAGAACTGTGAAGGCTTTTTCAGATGTTGTTTGGCAAACTGTAATCTGGCCTTCCTGTTTTTGAGGCTCACCAATGGTTTACATCTTGTGGTGAACCCTCTGTATTCACTCTGGTGAAGTCTTCTCTTGATTGTTGACTTTGACACACATACACCTACCTCCTGGAGAGTGTTCTTGATCTGGCCAACTGTTGTGAAGGGTGTTTTCTTCACCAGGGAAAGAATTCTTCAGTCATCCACCACAGTTGTTTTACATGGTCTTCCGGGTCTTTTGGTGTTGCTGAGCTCACCGGTGCATTCCTTCTTTTTAAGAATGCTCCAAACAGTTGTTTTGGCCACGCCTAATGTTTTTGCTATCTCTCTGATGGGTTTGTTTTGTTTTTTCAGCCTAATGATGGCTTGCTTCACTGATAGTGACAGCTCTTTGGATCTCATCTTGAGAGTTGACAGCAACAGATTCCAAATGCAAATAGCACACTTGAAATGAACTCTGGACCTTTTATCTGCTCATTGTAATTGGGATAATGAGGGAATAACACACAGCTGGCCACGGAACAGCTGAGAAGCCAATTGTCCCATTACTTTTGGTCCCTTAACAAGTGGGAGACACATATGCAAACTGTTGTAATTCCTACACCGTTCACCTGATTTGGATGTAAATACCCTCAAATTAAAGCTGACAGTCTGCAGTTAAAGCACATCTTGTTCGTTTCATTTCAAATCCATTGTGGTGGTGTATAGAGCCAAGAATGTTAGAATTGTGTCAATGTCCCAATAAAAAAATCTGAAGATTATATTTAAAAAAATATATTTTAAAAAAATAAATTTTTAAAAAAATATATTCTTCAGATTTTTTTTAACATATAAAAAAGTCATTTTAACATATATTTTTACATATATTTGTAAATGCATTCCAAAAAAATAAATTTGTATTTTTTAAGACATACAGCATATTTGAAATGTATTTGAGTTTTTTAATTTTTTTACTGGACATGTTTAATAGCAAAAAGTCCAAAATATTATTTTTTTCTCAAAATTGTCGGTCATTGTTTTTATAGCAAAAAAAAATAAAAATGCACAGGCGATCAAGTACCACTGAAAGAAAGCTCAATTTGTGGGAAAAAAAGGGACGTAAATTTAATTTGGGTACAGCGTTGCATGACCATGCAATTAAAGTAACACAGCGCTGTAACACAAAAAATGGCCTGGTCAGGAAGGGGGTAAATTCTCTGGAGGGCAAGTGGATACAAGGCATCTTCTGACTGACCAAGGTGGAGAGGTAGGAGCAAAAGTAATGATTTTTGCCTCAACCAAGTTGTATCTTACACAGGGTTATCTGCTCCCCATATGGCACTGCTGATTGGCCCTGCATGGTCACACTGAGTGAATCAGAAGCACCTAAATACATAGAAGTACTGGGCAGGGGCAGACTGACCATTTGGAAACTCGGGCGCTGCCCGAGGGCCCGGGTCAGTAGGGATGCCCCTGGTACGTTTTTTCATAGGCTTTTTTGAGTTTCGGCAAGGACACAGGGGCCCCATGATCCCCTATTGCCCGGGGGCCCCATGAGTTGTCAGTCCGCCCCTAGTACTGTGTATTTATTTTGGCAAGGGAGCAATCAAAAAGGTAAGTGTATGTTGGGGAAGGGTAACATTTAAGCAACCTTTTGGGATTATCTACCTCTACTGAGAAGGGAGTCAAATGCTCAGCAGCAGAAGAGAGATCTTTGCTCCATCCTGACCCCCGGCTAATCTCCTAATGGGTTACCTGTATGGACAATATGCAGTATATGTCCCCCTGCAGAAACAGGAAAAGGACATGGAAACTCTCTGCAGGCAACAACATTGTGTTACTTTGTTATAGCATATTATTTATGTTTTCTTGTCATTAAAAGGATAACTGACCTAATTAATGATTTTGTTACATGGGTATCTTATGTGAATAGGAGCAAAATGTATATAACATGAAACATATACCATAAAGTAATAGTGCTCAAATCACTAGTAGTGCTGTGAAAAACAAACAAATAACCAAAAACATATGGAAAAATATAAAAAACAAATATATAAAATAAAGTCTACTGTGACAAAATGAAGGAATTTTTTTTAAACACAGCATAAGAGTCCCGTGCAGTGCAGTCCAAAGGAATATGTTTTTCACAGCGCTACTAGTGTTTTGAGCACTATATTGTTTGATTACTTTATGGTGTTTGTTTAAAGAGGGGTTAAAGTAGCAGCAGTGATTTTTGGGAGATTTTTTCACATTTTATTTTGCTTTCAATTTTTTTCTCTATCAGAGAAGGGGATACATATATATTGTTGTTAACATGAAACATATGCTTTGAATACATTACAGCGGGATTACAGCGGGATGTTGAACTTTTGACTCTTTAGGGACTATTGCACATTAGAAATTGCTAGAATGATCAGGAGCAGTTAAAAGCATTTCTGTAAATGACATCTCACACCTGGGAGATTTGTTGTTTCCAGGACATGTGATTGATAGTTCAATGTTGATGTTCAGTCACACCAGGGAAACTATATGAGATTAATTGCTTGCATTGCAGTGAATGGATGAGATGATTGATCATTGCCCAATCTTTGTTTTCTATTTTAAGTATTCAAGATTAATCTCCTGAGAGTAATTTTGCAGAAATTCCCAACAACCCTGAATAAAGATTTTGAATACATTGTAGAGCCTGAGATTCTCCCAAATTGCATAGGCTTAGATGTACAGAACAGGTACTTGGTCTATCTGCTCTTACTGGGGTTACTATCTTGACAGTTTATTCTGACTTGTGGGACTATAAAGTGTTAGTTCAACTTTTCAGAAAATATATAAAAGGGAGGACTAACACCATGCATCCTTTCTATTGCCTGAGAAGAGGGAAAAGAGCAGGGATTTCAATTCAGCTTCCCTGGAGGCAAGTACAGCAGGGGCCAGATGGTGAGGGGTGTTTGTTCACCTTTTACATTTTTCTTAAAAGGTGAACTAGCACTTTAGGGTTTAGCATAGGTTGAGTGAAAGTACAGTATCTTTCCACTTTGCTTAGGGGGGTCATTTCAATATTGACATACATTGGAATATTTCATCATTCTAAAAACATTACCTGGTTGTTGGTCAAGTTGTGTACCTGCACCATTCAAATGACCATATCCATATAAGGTGTCACTACACTGTGCTCTATCAGCTAAAAACAAAACACAATTTAAATTAACAACTTTCTAACCAAATGCAAGTAATATTCTTAAGGTTTAGAGTTTAACCTCTTGGCGCTGGCTGAACACAAATGTGTGGCCTCCCGGCGTCTGGGCCTAGACACTGGGCAGCTGCACATTTGCGTTCTATTAAAAAAAACATATGTGCTGAGAGTGTGCACCCTGCACGCTCCCAGCACACATTTCTGGTACTCACGGAAAGGTCCCAATCTCCTCTTTTGATCTGGACCTTTCCTGATCATATGACAGCGTGTCACAGCAGTCACATGACCCTAAACCCCGCCCCGCCTCTCGGCTTCTGAAACCCTTAAAGGGCCAGGAGGCACCGGCGCCAAGGGGTTAATAAACCTTCCTGGTCAGTATACCACAAATTTAAAACTGTCCAAATGCCATTGGAGCATTTCCCTAGAGATAAATATATTAAAGTGTTACTAAACTCAGGACCCTGAATCCACTATATCTGGTCTCTTACAGTACACACTACATGGAAATGCTATTATTTTAGTAAATATAAACTGCTAAATACCTTTTCTCATCAGCAGTTAGAGCAATCTTTTGACTTCAGCAGTGCACTGGTCAAAGCTTGTAGGAGGAGTTTTCTTTCTGCTCTAGGAGGATGTGGAAGTCCTGACCCTCTGTCTGGATAGTGCTGATTGGCCCTGTGCTGATCACATGCACGCTCCCAAAAAAAAAAACCCTCTCTAGCAATTCACACCACACTGAGCATGTGCAGAAGGGCTACGGGTTCAGTCCGTCTTATCAGGAGATAAGATATGGACATTTGAACAAGAGGAGGGGCAGAAGAGTCAGGATCAAATGGCCTTTTTACACAATGCAGAGGATTAACCCCTTAGGTTCCACAGTGAGTATAAAAAGCATGCTTTACTGAATATACAGACTGATTTTACTGTTGTGGGTTTAGTAATACATTAAAGAATACATTTTATTGTATTCCTTCCTTCAGGCTAAGCATATTTTATCCCAAAGGCAACAATCAAGTCACCAGGAGGAAAAGCCAACTATTGTAAACTAGAGCTGCTATTTTGTACAATAAAGAGACCTTAGACACACACACAAGAAAGAAAAAATGTTTAAAAGAAAAAAATTATTCAAGGAACACAATATATGCACAGAAGGCGTTTCTGAAAGTTGCTTTCATTAAAGAGTTCTCAAGGATTCCAAAGGATTAAACAATGTTTTCTCAGTATACAATCACATATCATATAATAAAAATAAAGCATAGCGCTACACAGAACATAACACAAACAATCACACATCAACCTTTAAAACATGACATAAAAATATATATATAACATTACATACTTAAAATATACTAAATCACATCACCATAATGGTTTTATGGTTCATGTACAACCTTTGAATAAAAATTAAATTTTATATATATATATATATATATATATATATATATATATATATACACACACACACACCGTATATAGTGTATCAACACAAAAAATACATCAAAAAAATTATTAATTAATTAGATCACATCACTCTAAGGGTTCTATTGTTTGTCCATCCCAGTCCCATAGGGCTGCATTGGGCAGTGTTGTCCGTTGCATAGATATAGCAATTTGCCTTATGTCCAATACTTCATTTCACACCAATGTGTTGCATTGGTATGCACTGACAAAAATAGGACGTGTATCATTTTTGCACAGCACATTGCAACATGCTATAATGCATTAACAAAAGCAGTGCCACACATAAAATTAATTTAGCTGTAAGTGAATAAAGTTTAAAGCAAAAAAACCAAATTCATACACTAGTGTGCATTATGTGCACCAAGATCTGTAACTGCTTTTGTTAATGAACCCTTTCGGAAACCAGTCAAATTAAATTAAAATAGTTTTCTGTCTACTATCTATTTTGTTGAAAAAGAAGCAAACTGCACAGAATTAAAAAATGATTTTTTGCTTTTAAGTAGTAAAGACAAATTTATTTATTTCAGGTACTTATATAGCGCTGTCAATTTATGCAGCGCTTTACATATATATTGTACATTCACATCAGTCCCTAACCCTCAAGGGGCATACAATCTAAGGTAAATAGGCTCTTTATTTTGCAAGGGAAGTTGAGCTTTACAAGGGAATTTATCCCCAAATGCAAAGAATACCTGATCATGTGCAAGTAAAATAATGAAAACATTTTTTGCTTGCACATAATTGGATGATGGAAGTCAGCAGATCTTAAAGAGCAACTGTACTTTTGTTGAAAAAAAAAAAAACAATCACATCTGGGTGGTCAATATACTGTGCATTGCAAGGATTTTAATAAATTTTGTTGCAGATTTGTACCTGTTTCTACTCTGAAGAAAAAACTGTTTGTTCCATTATGTCTTTTGGATAATGATGTGGTGCATAATTAGCAGTGTTTTCTGTGCAAATTCCACACCGCATCAGAATCGCACCCCGTTCATGCGAACCACTGCAGGTGTGTATGTTAACCCATTGGTGCAGGCGCCTCCCGGCCCTTTAAGGGTTTCAGAAGCCTGGAGGCGGGACGGGGTTTAGGGTCATGTGACCACCGTGACACACCGTCATGGCGATCACATGATCGGGAAAGGTCCCGATCAAAAGAGGAGATAGGGACCTTTCTGTGAGTACCGGACAGCACATATGTTTTTTTGTAATAGAACGCAAATGTGCGGCAGCTCGGTGTCTAGGCCCAGACGCCGGGAGGCCACACATTAGTGTTCTGCCGGCGTGAAGAGGTTAAGTTAACAATACCCCGAAACTGGTCCACAAAACACAGTGCGATGTGCAGAATCGGATCGCATGGGTGTGAATACGATTCTAGTGCAGACCAAAAAAAGGGTCCTGCACCTTTTTGGTGTGGTTGCAGCCAATTGCACCACACACAATTTGTATGTGATTTGCACAGGAATGCGGTGCGGTTCCTGTGCGAATCACATGTGATATACCACACCGCATATGTGTGAACCTAGGCTTAGTGTTCTGGTGAGAAAAGTTGCAGTGTTTGTATCCTTTTAGAAGCGATTAACCCCTAATGACATTTCTGTTGCAGAGGATGCCTAAAAACTGACTTGCATCTTAGTTCAGAGTTCTTCCTCTCAAACAGGAAACAACATCTCTGGACCAGCTGTGTACAGAATGCCTCCATGGTGCCATATTGCATTACATCTTAGAGAAAAAATGACAGTGCTGCAGTTTGAAAAGGAAAAGTAATTTTAACAACATTCAATTACAAAATGGCTTGTGTAGCAATGATATAGTCATTTTTTTGTTGCTATATTTTTTCCACAAGTGGAAGTTACCCCACACAGTAGAGTTGCCCTTTAAGCTCATTCATTGTGCTTTGGGGCAAATTTCTTTGTAAAATGTAAAT